GGAGGCTGAGGCGAGTGGATTGCCGGAGCCCAAGGGTTCAAGACCAGCCCAGGGAACTTGGCAAGACCTTATCTCTACAATAAATAAATAAAACAAAAAAATTAGCCAGGGGTGGTAGCGCACACCTGTAGTTCCAGCTACTTGGAAGGCTGAGGCGGAAGGATTGCCGGAGCCCAACATGTCGACACTGGGGTGGCTGTGAGCATGCCACTGCTCTCTAGCCTAAGCGACAGAGTGAAACACAAACTTAAAAAAAAAAAAATAGATGTGAGAGGATCAGCAGAGGACTTTGAATAGGTGCAGACCATTATCAAAGTTCCGCCTAAAGACACTTTTGAATTTTTTTGGATCATTGATGCTAATCAACAGAGGGTCGTGGTGAAGTTTAAGTGAAGTGAGTTTTGTTTCTTCTAGTTGTCACTTAATATTTTTTGAAGGGAATACCTAGACGTGAACCACGGGAGCATAGCAAGATGGTGTAATTTACAAATCCTACTCAGTGCTAAGAAAGGCACTCAGTCAAGAAGAAAATAATCCATGTCAATTTTTATAGCAATTTGGGCTGGAGTGGAGGATGACAGACACCAGACAGATCTCTCACATATGTTGCTGCTACCCCCTTGCTACTGTGCTAGAGGAGAGTGGTTTGGTCATCATGGGGTGGGTTCTCTACACCACTGTCCAGAGCATGGCTTTGAGCAGTTATCTAACCTCTCTGGGTTGATTTCCTGAACTGTCAGACAAGGATAAAAATATCACCTTCCTCACAGAGTTGCGAGGAATAAATGTGGAGAATTAGGATGGTTTCCAGTGCATAGTAAGCATTCACAAAGGTTCCCAGTTGTTAATATCACTGGCCCTTCCACCAAAGTGGAACTGCACACCGTCTGCAGTCCTTACCACCAGCTTTTGCAGCAAGCCATGAATTTATAGTAGCAGTGGTTGCCTGATGGCCTGTTAAGAAGGGCCCCATGGCTACACTACATTTCTGTCCAAATTCAGGTCCCTTCCTTGGATTTATAGGATTGGCACATCAGCAATGCACAGTGGGTTAAGTAGAAAGAGGTACGAAACTATTCTCTAAAGCATCAGAATCTCTTTCAACATTTATTTTTTTCTTGATCAATTTTTACCATCAAATGCATTTCATGTTGAAACTGTGTACCAATTCTGATCAATTCAATGGACGTGTAAGAGCGAAGTGTCTGTCCAGACAGAGACTCCTAAGTGAGTCAAGCTGAACATAGACCTTGGGCCCTGTATGAGTCAGGATTCTCCTGAAGAAAAAAACCGACAGGATATACATGAGGCAGCGAAGAAAACGAATTAGTTTTTAGAGGGCCGGTCCTTTGTAGCCCAGGCTTCCCCTGTATTACAAGGGTTCTAAGAATCCATGGGCATCAGTATTCCAGCTGGTGTTGTGAGAGGCTGTGAGAGGCTCCAGTGAATTTGTTTTGGAGATCCTTTCAGTGTGTTTGCCCACTGATGGCGGGTGATTGACACGAACAAACTGCCCACCCCGCACTGCGCGTTCCACAGCTTTTGGCCCCAAACAGCATAACTCCAGGCGCCCCAACCTTCCTATTCGCCCGATCTTGCCCCAAGCGATTTTTCTGTTTTGTGTCCCCCGATGAAAAAGTCCTCAAAGGGAAACATTTTGCCAAAGTGGAAGAGGTGAAACAGAAAAACAGCAGAAGCACTAAAACACATCCAAATTGATGCGTTCAAAAGTTGTTCTGAGCAGTGGAAAAAGCATCTTAATGGGCGTATTGCATCAAATGGAGAGTACTTTGAAGGTGACCGGAACTTAAACATGTAAGAATAAATACGCAATTTTTTAATAAATAAATTCTAGGTGCTTGGGGGCCCCCATTTATGCACACACACACACACACACACACACACACACACACATTAATTGGCTCGCACAATTATGAAGGCTGAACAGTCCTAAGTTCCACATTCAGCAAGCTGGACTCCAGTCTGAAAGATGGCAAACTTGAGCCCCAACAAGAGCTGATGTTTCAATTCCAGTCGGAAGGCAGGAAGAGACCCGTGTTTTAGCTCAGGCATTCAGGCAGGAGGAGCTCTCCTCACACCTTCAGGGCTGTCCCTTTCAGTTTTTTTGTTCTGTTCAGGCCTTCAACTGATTGGATGTGGCTCATCCAAGTTAGGGAGGACAATCTGCTCTACTCCGTCTACCAGTCTCATTCAAAAACATTCTCACAGACACACTCAGGATAACGGTAACCAAATACCTGGGTTCTGTGACGCTCAGTCAAGTTGATACATTTAATTAACCATCACAGGTCCTAGCCTCCTCTGAGAGACTTCTCCAGCATACATGGATGATACATGGATGGATGATACCAGCACACAGACTTCCCAGGGCCTGAGCAGATAAAAGGAGTATGACTAATCATTTGGTTTTCCTGGGACGATTTCCTGGGTCGCTGGACTTTCAGTTTTTAAAACCCCTTGAGTCTCAGGTAAATGGATAAATTGACCATCTTGGGCAGAACCCAATCAGCAGCCACCCTCTGTCAATCCTTTCCTTCTCTAATCATCTACCTGCCTAACTCATAAATACCCATTAAATACTTGACCTGTGACCCCAGTTTTACAGGGTAATAAATTCCTTTCCAGGAAAAACTGTAGAGTAAGACAATAATGAGTTCCCTGTGGATTTGGATCTAGGGCTACACTCCAGATTTTTTTTTTTTTTTTTTTGAGTTAGAGTCTCACTCTGTCACCCAGACTGGAGTGCAGTGGCCGCTCTGGGCCACCGCAGCCTTGACCTGCCGGGCTCCGGTGATTCTTCCGCCTCAGTCTTCCAAGTAGCTGGAACTACAGGCGCGCGCTACCACACCCACCAATTTTTGATTTATTGGAGAGATGTGGTCTCGCCAAGTTGCCCAGGTGGGTCTCAAACCCGCGGGCTCAGGAAATCCACTTACCTCAGCCTCCCAAGGTGCGGGATTACAGGCTGAGCTACCGAGCCCGGTTCACTCCCAGATTTTTACTCCCCAGTGATATATTGTCTTTCTTACAACATGGCGCCAGCTTCCCCGACACTCCAGTGTGGAGTGGAGAAGAATTAACTCCACTTCTGGAGAAGAGTATAATTTGTGGGCATATTATCTTTAAAATCATGATACTGGCAAAGGCAAGTTTGATCTATTTCATAAAACTGCCTGTGTTCAGTCATTAACACCACCATCTGGAAATAGAATCACTAAGAATTTCACATACTCTCACCAGGAACAGACTTCTCAGTTGTTCATCCACAATCTAACTGGCCTTCTATGAGGGCAAGCTGGACACTTCTGCTGTGACAATCCAACTCCAACCTAGAGACACCTTGAAAAATATTGGAAGTCTCTAGACTACCTTGCCCGGGATTTCTATCTTTGAAACAAGTAGTAATATGTATTGCACAGTCATTTTTGGGAATGATACATCAACACCTTATCCCACAACGATGTTGGGTCAGGCAGTGACACAGGAAGACAAGCAGTGAGAAAGAGACAACCTAAGCATATCACCAATCCACTGAACCAACTCTCTCCCTCCCTCCCTCTCTCCACTAACAATGTTACTCACACTACTTGGAAAGCTGAGGCAGAAGCATCGCCTAAGCCCAGCAGGTCGAGGCTGCAGTGGCCGTGAGCATGCCACTGCACTCCAGCCTGGGAGACAAGAGTGAGACTCCAACTCAAAAAAAAAAAAAATGTTTCTCATGAAGTACTTAAGATGAGGGCACAGTAAATTGTCTTATTTACGTTATTACATTATTGTATTTTATGGATAGTACAGAGTTTTCTTAAAGCTAATGTGACTAGTTTCTATTTTGCATTCTATTTTCAAACGATTCCCTTTTATAAAAAAAAATTCAGTAGCTTTAGGGGTACAAATGGTTGGTTACATGGATGCATTGTAGAAAGGTGAAAAGTCTGAGCTCTAAGTGTACTCGCCACCCACACGAGTGCACATTATACCCCACAGGTGATTTTTTTATCCTTCCCTCATTCCCACCCTCCCTTTTCTGACTCTCCAATGTCCATTATATCATCCTATATGCCTTTTCAGACCCTAATCTTAGCTCCCACTTATAAGTGAGAACATGGTTTTCCACTCCTGCATGACTTCACTTGAGATGATGGTCTCTACTCCATCCAAGCTGCTGCAAAGTCATTAGTTTCATTTTTGTGACTGAATAGTATTCCTTGGTATATATAACTAAATTTTTATTATCCACTGAGCATTTAGATTGATTCCTCATCTGTGCAATAGTACTGTGATAAACATACAAATGCAGATGTCTTCTTTGTATAATGACTTATTTTCCTTTGGGTAGATACCAAATAGTAGGATTGCTGAATCATATGGGAGATATACTTCTAGTTCTTTGAGAAATCTCCATACCAATTTCCACAGAGTTTGTACTAATCTATATTCCCACCAACAGTATATAACTGTTCCCTTTTTACTGAATCTGTGCCAACATCTATTGTTTTTTGATTTTTCAATAATGGTCATTCTGACTGGTGTAGTGAGGTATCTCCTTGTGGTTTGAATTTGCATTTCCCTGATGATTAGTGCTGTTAAGCATTTTTTCATGTTTGTTGGCCATCTGTATATCTTCTTTTGAGAGATATCTGTTCGTGTCATTTGCCCACTTTTTAATGGGGCTATGTGTTTTTCTTGCTGATTTGTTTAAGTTCTTTGTAGATTCTGGATGTCAGTTCTTTGTCAGATGTATAATCTTTGAATATCTTCTCCCTTTCTGTAGGTCACCTATTCACCCTGTTGGCTATTTCCTTTTCTGTGCAGACAATTTTTGGTTTAATTAAGTCCCACTTATTTATTTTTATTTTTGTTGCATTTGCTTTTAGGGTCTTAATCATAAATGATCTTCCTAGGCCAATGTCCAGAAAAGTTTTTCCTAGATTTTCTTCTAGGATGTTTATGGTGAAACTGATATTTCTATATTCTTTTAGGTTACTGAGTGATTTTTACTTCAGATCTCCAGCAAGTGCTACAAAATAGAAAAGATTCTGAAGAATCAAATCTTCTGTGAAGTCCAAGTAACATCCCTACCTTGACCACAAGTAAGAGAAATGAAGCACATTATCAAGCCCTATGAAAACATCAGTGATACAGCAAGAAATAATTCAGACTGTCCTCATGTAGTTTTGCCGGAAGAGATATTTTTCACAATATCCATCGTCGGAGTTTTGGAGAACTTGATCGTCCTTCTGGCTGTGCTTAAGAATAAGAACCTCCAGTTGCCCATGTACTTTTTCATTTGCAGCTTGTCCGTTTCTGATATGCTGGGCAGCCTGTATAAGATCTTGGAAAATATCCTGATCATATTAAGAAATACAGGCTATCTCAAGCCACGTGGCAATTTCGAAAGCATGGCTGATGACATCATCGACTCCATGTTTATCCTCTCTCTGCTTGGCTCCATCTTCAGCCTGTCCGTGATTGCCGTTGACCGCTACATCACCATCTTCCACGCTCTGCATTATCACAACATCATGACCATGCGCCGCACGGTCATCCTTCTAATGGTCATCTGGACATTCTGCGTGGGGAGTGGCATAGCCATGGTGATATTCTCCCATCACGTGCCCACGGTGATCACCTTCACCTCACTGTTCCCACTGATGCTGGTCTTCATCCTGTGCCTCTATGTGCACATGTTCCTGCTGGCCCGCTCCCATGCCAGGAAGATCTCCACCCTCCCTGGAACCAACATGAAAGGGGCCATCACACTGACCATCCTGCTTGGGGTCTTTATCTTCTGTTGGGCTCCCTTTGTCCTTCATGTCCTCTTGATGACATTCTGCCCAGATAATCCTTACTGTGCTTGCTACATGTCTCTCTTCCAGGTGAATGGCATGTTAATTATGTGCAATGCAGTCATTGACCCCTTGATATATGCCTTCCGGAGCCCAGAGCTCAGAGGTGCCTTCAAAAAGATGATCTTGGGCAACAGGTACTGGTAGAACCCTGATTTTAGATTCCACAGGAATAATATGGTCAAGTGACAGAATAATGTAATATTCCAACAAGTGCTAATGCTTCTGACTGTCCTTTCCTTCCCTAACAGATAGGAGGATTATCCCACCAACTAGTGTTTATAATAACTCAGTTCTGTGTGAAAAGTCTTGTAGAAGCAACTTTTATAGCTTTATAACTAGAGGGATAAAATGATGTACTAAAAAGAAGGATAGTATGCAAAGCGCATACAGCAATACAAATTCAAGGGCTTTGGGCTGAGACAAAAACTTGTTCTTCTGTTCTGAAGAAAAAACTTGTTCTGTAGATATATACCTGTCCTGAGGTGCTCTTTCCAGGCTGGAGGCCATTGCAACCGATTTCTGGAAATTAAAGTACCTGGAAAAGTGACTAAGGTCAGAAACCACAGGGTCTTTATAAGCCCATTACAAATTAGAGCAAATAAGTTGCTGAAGGAGACCCCGCCTGTCTCCTGTAGCCATGCGGAATGCCCATCCCCCACCTCCTCCCCGCTTCTCCCTTGCCTGCCTGAGGTATTGTAGCCATCTCACATCAATTCGGGAGCAGGCAGAGTGTAACTCACAAATGTCAAATAACCACCCTTGCATTTCCAATGATAAATAGACTTTCTCTGTTAGTCTTTTTTGCCCTCTCTGCATCCCACTGGCCTTAAAATCCTTTCATAATAAATCTCTTCATGATTTAGTGGCATAAATGTTAAAAGAAGAAAAATAAAAATTTAATTCATCGGATTCCTATGTGGGAATACATAAGGCCAGAAGAAAATGGTGACTTTATGTTTCTCTAAATGTAGAAGTACAGGGAAAGAGGCCCTGGTATGTATTTTGTGGAATAAGTAGAGTGTGTATGGGGAGAGGTGTTCCTACTGCTTTTGGACTACGGAAAAAACCAAGACCCAAGCAACATTTCAAGCAACAGCAGTGTTACTAGAGACCCAAGCCAAAGACCTGATAGAAAAAAAACCCAAAAACCTACTTCCCTCCTTCTGCAGTTGAGTCTGAAAGACAAATCGGGTCTCTGAAAAATTTTATGCCACTGTCAGCCACCGCAAAGGTGTCAGATATTGAAGAGTGGCACCCCCAGTAGGAATACAAGAAACTTAATTTGAAAGTTCATTTTTTAATAGCTAAAAATAAAGCTTAAATAAGAAATAAATTTCAATTTTAAGTCCTTGCTAAGTTGAAGAGTAACTTGAAGGAATGAGTGATGAAAGAGACAGAGAACAGCAAGGACTTCGGACACATGAAACCCACCAGGCTCGATATCTACATGGAAAGGCAGTGTCTTCTGGAAGAGGCAACACTTTGCCCTCAGTAGAGTTTCCCGTGAGCTGCTGAGAGGAGAAGACAGCCATAGGCAGGACTAATAGTTTGATGATCGTGGAGTGGAAGGAACTTTAGAAGCAAAGGAGAAAGCTCAGAGTTGAGGGAGGACAGTCTCCACATGGCCTGTGTCACAGGTTGAGGCAAAACCCCTGGTATGTCTCTTATCCACTGTTCTGTAGAAATTCTTACCTATTTGATCCTTACCCCTGCCATACGAACTACATTATTCTAGCATTAACCTGGCGTTATTAATAAATAAGATACTACATGTAAGTTCACTTTCTATAAAATCTAATGCATAACACTATAAATAATTTTTGAAATACTAGTTGTGCTATAGAAAAAATAACTTTCTGTAATTAAACTGAGTATTCTTGGCAAACTGTAACCTTTCTTTGGTGTTGCACTGCTCTACCATTTAAGCTCTATCATAAATGGCCCCAAACTGCTCTGCCTATAAAATTCTGCTTTTGGCAACAACTTTTTTATCCCCTAATCACTTCCAAGATCTCTGCTGTCACATCTAACTGTTGTCAGAAAAAAATCACGTACACATGTTCCCACCTCTCACTCCTTTTAATCTGTAGCATTTAATCCAAGAAATAAAATCAAGAAGGCTCGTCTAGTAAAGCATATGACAAAAAGAAAGGCTGAGTGCTAACTTAGAGACACTTTCAATTCCATATTCTCAGCTATATTCAAATCAGAGCAGGGACTCTGGTGTTCATCGTTACTGAAAAATTATAGTTTTTCTGCCTCTAACTTCATATAGATCTCAAAATGAAAAGGGTATCAAAACTGCACATATTGGTGTAAGGAAGAGCAATAACCCTCGGACTTGTCCCATGATGGCTACTTCAATTCTTTTATCAAATTATTATGGTTTTTTATTTTTTGTTTTTTGGTTTTGGGGGTTTTTTTTGAGTTGGAGTCTTACTCTGTTGCCCAGACTGGAGGGCAGTGGCACGCTCCCAGCCACCACAGCCTCAACCTGCTGGACTCCGGCGATCCTCCCACCTCAGCCTTCCAAGCAGCCAGAACTACAAGCGCACGCTACCGTGCCCAGCTAATTTTTGATTTCTTGTAGAGACAAGGTCTCGCCAAGTTGCCTGGGCAGGTCTCAAACCCGTGGGCTCAGGCAATCCACTCGCCTTGGCCTCCCAAAGTGCTGGGATTACAGGTTGAGCCATTAAGCCCGGCCCAAAGTATTACGTTTTTAAACTGCTGTGTGGATGCCATGAATACATGTTCAGTTTTGCTGATGATCCAGCCTTGGACCAGATAGCTGAGAATGTTAGATAAAGAATTTATGAACTATAGCTGATACTGTGAACCCACTCTAAAAAAATGAAAGAAAAATCCCCCCCCCCATTTTCCCATCTGGTCCTGGACAGACAAGAGAAGTTTAGTAAGTGTCCTAGCTTCCCCCTAAACCATATATTCACCAGGCTAAGGCAAGAAGGGGCTGGGAGGGTAGTCAAGGAATACCCCCCAGAGTGTCTGGGTGAGTAAGACCTACTGAGAACCATGAGCACATCAATAAAAGCATTCTGAAGAATAGTCAGAGTTGATATTTCCTGGGCTGTGGCAAAATAGTTGATAATAATAATAACAATAGCAACTATAATGGTACCTATCTATCACTGAACAGTTGCTACAAGCCAAGGGTTATTCTAAGACCTCTGCATGCATTAATCCTCACAATGACCCCAAGAGTAGATCAATTGTTGTCCATATTTTTAGATGAATAAGTTGAGGTTCGGCGATATTTAGTAACTTCTGGTCAGTCCTCTAAGGTGGCCTTTGCTATCTCCACCTATTTTAGTTGCATCTTTGTTTAATCCTTGCCCCTGGAGGATGGATGTGACTGTGACCTGCCTCTAACCCATAGAATATGGCAAATGTGATAGGAGGTCACTCTCGTGATTGCGGTACATTATCTAAAACCCCATTTTGCTCGCAGACTTCTTGGGGAGACTCTGCTTTCTTGTTTGATGAAAAAAGTGGGCATGCTGGGGAATCCCATGTGCCAGGGAACTGCTGGGGATCTCTAGAAATTGCAAGGGGGCCTCTAAGAATGACATGGGACCTCTAAGATCTGTTTGGGGATCTGGGGATGGCAGAACTCTCTAGAAACTGCTGGGGCCCTTAGGACTGTGGGGAAGGGGAATCTCTAAAAAAAGGGGGCTCTGTCTGGCCCCTGGACTCACGCCCTGAGATGCTGGAATGCTCCACAAGCAAACAAATGGACAGACCATAGCATAATGCCTATTTGCTTTCATGCCAGGTCAGGCACCCCCTCCCTCACTGCACACTTGGCTCCAAAACTGGGGAGTCACACAAAGTACACCACTGTTCTTACCTCACATCTAGAGTCCTGGCTCAAAGATTTTGCCTGGAGAGAGAAGCAAAGCATAAAATAAATAGCTCCTAATTTCTTCCCAAAGAAACTGTCTGCATTCTCAAGAGTGTGAAGTAGTCCAAGCACTCTCAAGAACAGTGGAAGTTTCCAAGTCACTGTGAAAATTTTAAGAAGAAAAAAGAACAGTGGAAGTTGTAGCAAAAGGCAGTTGGAAGGAGAATGATAACATTCATTGGAGATGTAGGTGGCCCTGTAGACCAGGTGGCTCACTGAGAAAGCCCAGGAAAGAGCGAGCAGTGGCAGCCCTCCTTGGGTCAGAACAAATATCAGTCACTGATCGTGGAATCTATCTCTTCAAAGGAGCCAAATTTGATTAGATTAGTTTTCAGAGATTGTATGTCTCATAACATTGTTGAAACTTAGAGGAATGTCAGCAATTTGTGGTGTTCAACAGCAGAGCGTAGTTGGGGACAGAAACAGTCAGACAAGAGCCCTGTCAAAACCACTGTCATCCCACAATAACAGTGGGAACCCAAGGCTTCACCCCTGAGAAGAACATCAGAGGCATAACGCTGCAGGAAAGGATGGATGGATGGATGGGTAGACTGCCCCAAAACAATTCAGATAGTCACTACACAAACAAGCAAATAACAGTTACGAGACCCTGAAGGAAAGAGGGGTGGGACCAGTATTCAGAGTCGCGGCAATCTGTTATCTAAAATATCTAGTTCTGCTGCCAGCCTGGGTTCTGCTGCCAGCCTGCCTGATTAGTAGCTCTGAGACCAGGTTCAGTGGCTCAGCCTATCATCTCAGCACTTTGGGAGGCTGAGGCAAGTGGATTGCCTGAGCCTGCGGTTCGAGACCAGCCTGGGCAACTTGGCGAGACCTCGTCTCTATAATAAATAAAAAATTAGCCGAGCATGGTAGCACGCAACTGTAGTTTTGGTTCCTCGGATGGCTGAGGCGGAGGAATCGCCAGAGCCCAGCAGATCGACACTGGGGTAGATGTGAGCATGCCACCGCACTCCAGCCTGGGTGACGGAGTGAGACTACAACTCAAAAGAAATAAATAAATTAAATAAAATAACTAAAATCTTAAAAAAATATATCTCTGAGACCTCAGGCAAAGGCTTAGAGCCTCAGTTTCCTCACATATCAAATGGAAATAACCTTCCTCTTGTGTTTACTATAAGGATTACTCGTTCCTAAAGCACTCAGTACACACAACACTCGATAAGCGTTAATATCTTCAAATAAGAGCCCACACTGAATATATTTTATGGATGGGAATATCTTCTGTCATTTGGGCAAATATATTCTACGAATGGGAACATATATTCTACGAATGGGGACATCTTCTGTCATTTGGGAAATGACCACAATGATCTCTCTCCAACTCCAGGACCCAAGTGTCACTACCTTGGTCATTTCTGCAAATGCTCCTACCCAAGGAGGAACAGGCAAGGAATCCTGTAAGGCTCGCCCTTTCCAAGGCTTAAGAGTGTGATTCTCAACA